GTCCCTCAATCGACTAGTCTCTGTTCGCAAGGTCCTGATGTGAAACCCAGACAAGGGAAGCATCTCCCTGGCTGGCATTCATCTATTAATTAGTTCCCTTGTGGTTTCACACCTCTGTTGCGAGTGCGAACATTCCGATTAATTGGTGTGAACTTTCTAATGGGGCACCAGGGAGTTCCTTGTTTGGGAGACGAACAAAGCGGGAAACAATCCATGAATGCTCACCCGAGTGATGTTCGCCTGTATGTATTGCGGCCACCCAGGGAAGCACTCATTGATTGTTTCCCTTGCGGTTTGTGGTTTTGACACTTATGTTGTGAGGGGCAAACATTCCAACGTAACATTCTAAATTAGGTATTGGGGTGGTCCCCGTTCGGGAGGTGAATAAATTCCCTTAGTGGAAGCACTCCCAAACGGGGAGCGGGCACAAGTAACGAACATAAGGGGAAACACATGTAAAAGAGAAGGGAGATTCACGAACAGGCAGCCGTTCCACAACAGAGACTTCCCTACACATCTGACATCCTGTCTAGTGTCCTGGTCAACCTTAATCTGCACTGGAGAGAAAAAAATAAGTATACAAACAAGAGTTAAAGTATGTACAATTGGGTAACTGGAACTAATTCAAGTTTGTTTGTTTTTTTATTGGTGTCGTATAACGAAGCACTTTATTTATTATTTATTTATTAATGGCATTTATAAAGCGCCAACATATTCGTCAGCGCTGTACAATTAGGGTAAAACATACAATATGCACAGACCAATACAAAAGGTAAAGAAGGCCCTCCCCGTGAGCTGAGTTCTAGCTATTGAAGCTCTTTTATACAAAGTGCTTAGATAGACAGCCCATGAGCTTACAATCTAAATGATATAGTGGGAATTTGAGACAAGAGGTAGCGGAGGAATTTGGATGTGATGGCCTGAGGAAATTAACAGAGAGTTGAATCTACTGGTAAAATGTTAAGGGAGCAAAGGTGTCATTGAGTAAGATCTCAGACAGCTGTAAGAACATGCTATAAATTTAGTAGGAACTTGGACGGGCTGGCAGGTAGTGCTTAGAGCAAATGAAGAGAGTCAGTATTGCAAGTTTCTGGGTTTGTGGATTGAGGTCTAGGGATCAGGGATGGAGATGAGACACAGTTATATAAAAGATATTTAG